GGTGACATCACCCGCGGCGGGTGGGACGCGGAGGGGGCGGTGACCTTCTGGGGACAACGGAGAGGGGGCGGAGCTCTGGGGACACGGTGAGGATGAGGAGTCTCCAGGGACGGTGATGAAGGTTGGGGGGCTCCGTGAGGCCGAGGACTCTGCGGTGACGATGATGGCGGTGAAGGACGAGGGCTCTTCGGTGGCCGTGATGGACAGGGACTCTCTGGTGAGGATGATGAAGGGACTCTGGTGGCTGGGATGAAGGACAGGAACTCTCCAGTGAGGAGGATGATGGACTCTTGGTGGCCATGATGAAGGATGAGGACTCACTGCTGAGGATGATGATGGACTCTTGGTGGCCGTGATGAAGGGCAGGCGCTCTCCAAGGACCACGACTCTCTGGTGAGGATGATGAAGGACTCTGGTGGCCATGATGAAGGACAGGTGCTCTCCAAGGACCAGGACTCTCTGGTGAGGATGATGAAGGACTCTGGTGGCTGTGATTAAGGATGAAGACTCTCTGGTGCCAACGACGTCGGTGAGGACCGAGGGCTCTCTGAGGACGATGACAAAAGCTGAAGGTTCTCTGAGGATGACGATGACGAAGGCCAAGGGCTCTCCAGTGACAACGGTGAAGGCCGAGGGCTCTGAGGACAACCGTGATGAAGGCCAAGAGCTTTCTGGTGATGACGGTGAAGGACAACAGCTCTCTGAAGACAATGATGAAGGCCGAAGGCTCTCCAACGATGATGACGATGGCCAAGTGCTTTCCGGTGACAACCGTGAAGACCAAGGGCTCTCCGAGGACGCTGACGAAGGCTGAGGACAATGATGAAGGACAAGGACTCTCCGAGGACGATGACGCTGAAGGCCGAAGGCTCTCCAAGGACAACGGTGAAGGACAAGGGCTCTCCGAAGACGACGACGGCGAAGGACGAGGGCTCTCCGAGGACAACGCTGAAAGACAAGGGCTCTCCGAGGATGACGATGGCAGTGAAGGACGAGGGCTCCGCTAGACAACCATCCCCTCAGGCCTCCTCTTCGGCCTCTTCACCGAAGTCCTCCTCCTCCTCGGCGGTGGCGTCCTGGTACTGCTGGTACTCCGAGACGAGGTCGTTCATGTTGCTCTCGGCCTCGGTGAACTCCATCTCGTCCATCCCCTCGCCCGTGTACCAGTGGAGGAAGGCTTTGCGCCGGAACATGGCCGTGAACTGCTCCGAGATGCGCTTGAAGAGCTCCTGGATGGCCGTGCTGTTGCCGATGAAGGGGACGGCCATCTTGAGGCCGCGCGGCGGGATGTCGCAGACGGCCGTCTTGACGTTGTTGGGGATCCACTCGACGAAGTAGGAGCTGTTCTTGTTCTGGACGTTGAGCATCTGCTCGTCCACCTCCTTCATGGACATGCGGCCGCGGAAGACGGCGGCCACCGTCAGGTAGCGGCCGTGGCGCGGGTCGCAGGCGGCCATCATGTTTTTGGCGTCGAAGACCTGCTGGGTGAGCTCGGGGACGGTGAGGGCGCGGTACTGCTGGCTGCCGCGCGACGTCAACGGCGCGAAGCCCGGCATGAAGAAGTGGAGACGTGGGAAGGGCACCATGTTGACGGCCAACTTGCGGAGGTCGGCGTTGAGTTGACCGGGGAAACGCAGGCAGGTGGTGACGCCGCTCATGGTGGCCGAGACGAGGTGGTTGAGGTCACCGTAGGTGGGCGTGGTCAGCTTCAGGGTGCGGAAGCAGATGTCGTAGAGGGCTTCGTTGTCGATGCAGTAGGTCTCGTCCGTGTTCTCCACCAGCTGGTGGACGGACAAGGTGGCGTTGTAGGGTTCCACCACCGTGTCCGACACCTTGGGGGACGGGACGACGCTGAAGGTGTTCATGATGCGGTCGGGATATTCCTCGCGGATCTTGGAGATGAGGAGGGTGCCCATGCCGGAGCCGGTGCCGCCGCCCAACGAGTGGGTCAGCTGGAAGCCCTGCAGGCAGTCGCAGCTCTCCGCCTCCTTCCTCACCACGTCCAGGACCGAGTCCACCAGCTCCGCCCCCCCCCCGTAGTGACCCCTTGGCCCGTGTAGTGACCTTTGGCCCAGTTGTTGCCCGCGCCGCTCTGGCCTGGGGTGGGGACACGGCAGGGACGTCACGGTGGGGGCTCCTCGGGGGGAAACTGAGGTCTTTGGGGACTTTGGTTGCTCGGTTTGAGGGCCTTCAGGCCAACCTCGAGTTGGGCATCTCCATCCCACCTCCGGGGGATCTGCACCCTCCTTGGGGACCCGGATCCCACCCTCGTGGACCTCCACTGACCTCTCCTTGGGGATCTTCACCCAACCCCTGGGGACCCTGAGCTCCTTTGGGACCTCTACTACCTTCCACGGTGACCTACAGCCCATGCATGGGGACTTTGTGCTCCTTGGCGACCTCCATCACCATCCCTGAAGACACCTCACAAACCCCTGGAGATGCTAAGGGCCTTGGGGACCTTCACTACTCTTCTCGCCTATCTCCAGTTCACCCTTGAGCTCCTCGAGAACTTCCAGCACACCCTTGGGGACCTCCATCCCACCCTCAAGAACCTCAAGCACCTCCACAGTCCTCACTGGGCTCCTCTACCTGACCCTTGGGGAGCCTGAGCACCCTGGGGACCTCCATCATCCTCCTCCGAGATCCCCAAACTGCTCTTGAGGACGTCCAGCACTCTCCTCCCCCATCTCTGTGCCACCCTTGGGCACGCCAAGCACCTCAAGGACCTCTGTCCAACCCTGGAGGGCCTCCAGTCCACACCTGAGCTCCTTGGGGACCACCACCACCACCACTCTTCTTGGGGACTCCCAGCCCACACGTGGGGACTTTATGCTCCTTGGGGACCTCCACCACCGTCCCTGAAGACACCTCGCAAACCCCTGGGGACGCCAAGGGCCTTGGGGACCTTCACTACTCTTCTTGCCTATCTCCAGTTCACTCTTGAGCTCCTTGAGGACTTCCAGCACACCTCTGGGGACCCTGAGGTCCTTGGGGACCTCCATCCCATCCTCGAGAACCTTGAGCACCTCCATTGACCTCACTGGGTATCTCTACCTGGCCCTTGGGGACCTCGATCATCCTCCTTTGAGATCCCCCACCTACTCTCGAGCACCTTGGGGAGCTCCAGCACTCTCCTCCTCTGTCTCCGTGCCACCCTTGGACACCCCAAGTACCTCAGGGACATCTGTCAAACCCCTGGGGACTTCCACTCCACACCTGAGGTCCCTGAGGACCACCACCACTGTTCTTGGAGACCTCCATCACCTTCCTTGGGGACTCCGAGCACCTTGGGGACCTCTTGCCACCCTTCTTGGGGGCCTCCACCCCACCCTTGGGTATCTGAGGCTCTTCGTGGACCTCCACCATTCCCCTCAGGTCATTTCCGTGCCACCATGAGCTCCTCAGAGACATCCATCTCCTCAGGGACCCTCACCCCCCCCGATCTGGGGACCCCAACCCCTCTGGGGAACCCAATAACCCTCCCCGAACCCAAGGAAGGGGAGCTCTGGGGACACAGGGAGATGCTGGCCATCAAGCAGGGGACAACGGGGACCCACCACCCTGCTGTGACAAGCACCTGAGGGCCATTGAAGAGGGACGTGTCCCTCCAATGGGAAGGGCACCCATGGGCAACGACGGCGGGGACCCACCACCCAAGCCCATGAGGATGGCCACCACCGGGAGCCTCACAGCCACCAGATGAAGACAAAAGCCACCCAGGTCACTGTGGAGGACACCAGGGGGGACACTGGGTGACACCGGGTGCCGCGGGGACTCACCAAAAACGAAGTTGTCCGGCCGGAAGATCTGCCCGAAGGGTCCCGAGCGCACCGAGTCCATGGTGCCCGGCTCCAGGTCCACCAAGATGGCCCTCGGCACGTACTTACCCCCTGGGGACATCACC